ACAAGCAAAAATTGGTGATTCAATGAGAACAAATCGATTCATTAGGAGGAAATCAGACGATTTGTTTTATGAAAATAATGATGAGGAGAAGAAGAGGAACGCACGTACCTCAGATCAGCCGGACTCGTCGATGTTCCTCCTGCTCCTCGATGTTCATCGGCAGCCATACCTTGTTGAAACCATTTACCAGTTTTTGCGAGAATCTGTTGTCGTTTCTGACACAGCGAACATGCCCATATTGGCTGAAATCATGTCGTCTATAGATAAAATTCTTGATTTCACGATCTTATGGCCTTTATCTCATATGCTTTAACAGTAATCATCTGATTTGGACAATCAAAATCGGATGGCTACTTTATTTAGTTTATTACATTCATAGACAAATATGTTCAAAGTATAATTATCATAATGACTAAATTGTTCGCTCTATGGCCAAGCTGCTATTATAATAATTTTTTTCTCGTGATGCCCACTGAGGTGCGAAATTCGGGAGCATTGCCTCCACTCCTCATTCACATGAGGTACTTCATTTGCCACATGAGATACTTCATTCACTGAACAATACATGAACCGTACACGTAGCAGTTTGCTGTCTTGCTGCTTCAGATGCAGATGAAATGAAGAAACTCATGAGAAATCGCCATGTTTCCTTTCCCCAACCAGACAATTACACCAATAGACATTCATTCAGCTAACGTCATTATAAAATTTTCAGGAAAAAAGGAACAACTCGTCATCATCACATGTTTACAAACCTTATTCTTACTTGTCGTCCTTCCACCACATCTGGCACATGACCTTAATTGACAATAAAAACACTTATGACCGATTCCATCAGCAAATTTGGTTTTTTGACAAATTTGACAGATCGCATCATCTTGTGTACCGACCAGCCTTTGAGCAGTCTCTTTTCTCTCGTTGATTTGTCTCTCTATTGCTTCCAGCTCTTGGTCGGCTTTTCTGCAATGAACAACACTCAACTTTTAGCTGAAATTTAAGCAACCGCTCAAAAATAATACCATCATCAGAATCGTTTTGGAATTTTACATGAACCAATATGAGTCTTAATGAATAAAGCTGCGATTCTTCCACATGGTCGACAACAATGTCAACTTCATAACTGACATTCTACATAATCAATGAAAAATATTGGAGTAAAATGGTCATGATGCAGATGGAAGGTGATGACAAGAATACATCAGGTAAGGTCTATCATCACAACTCGAAACAAAAAATTATCACAAGTGGTGCCATAACATGATACTCATCATCATTAATTTTCCCATTAGCACACTGATTTCAAAAAGCTGATGAATTCACAAACGAATTTTCGCAAACTTACTGGCTAAGTTGTGTCTCTTTTTCTTCCTCTGCGCGTTGACGTTGGAACACCTCCTCAATAATTTGGCGTTCCTCAGCGCTGAGGTGCGAGAGGTCTGGCATCGGCGGCTCGGCCATGCCTAAGCCGCACGACCTCGTTCAATCCTTAAAAA